CCAGGTTCAGGCAATTCTCCTGCCCCAGCCTCCTGAGTAGCTGGGATTACAGGCATGCACCACCATGCCCAGCTAATGTTTTTGTATTTTTAGTAGCGGCCGGGACATGGTCACCATGTTGACCAGGATGGTCTCGATCTCTTGACCTCGTGATCCACCCGCCTCGGCCTCCCAAAGTGCTGGGATTACAGGCTTGAGCCACCGCGCCCGGCGCTCAACTCTCAACATGTTTTTTTTAGATGGAGTCTTGCTCTGTTGCCAAAGCTGGAGTGCAGTGGCACGATCTCGGCTCACTGCAGCCTCCGCCTCCTGGGTTCAGGTGATTCTTCTGCCTCAGCCTCCCGAGTAGCTGGGACCACAAGTGTGCGCCACCTCACCCAACTAATTTTTTTTTTTTTATTTTTATTATATTACTATTTTCTTTTGAGATGGAGTTTCACTCTTGTTTCCCAGGCTGTAGTGCAATGGCACAATCTTGGCTCACTGCAACCTCCGCCTCCCAGGTTCAAGGGATTCTCCTGCCTCAGCCTCCCAAGTAGCTGGGATTACAGGCATGCACCACCAAGCCTGGCTATTTTGGTATTTTTAGTAGTGACAAGGTTTCTCTATGTTGGTCAGGCTGTTCTTGAACTCCTGACCTCAGGTGATCCAACTGCCTTGGCCTCCCAAAGTGCTGGGATTATAGGCATGAGCCACCGCACCCGGCCTTTTTTGTATTTTTAGTAGAGATGGGGTTTCACCATGTTGGCCAGGCTGGTCTCAAACTCCAGACTGTAAGTGATCCTCCTGCCTTGGCCTCCAAAAGTGCTGGGATTACAAGAGTGAGCCACCATGCCCAACCCCTCAGTTCTCAGCTTAATGTCACTTCCTGCAATGTGCCCATTCTACAAAGGGAAAAGGGGAAAGGCAGTGGGTAAAAAAAGCACAGCCTTTCCTCATACTGCTTGTTCTTTTTTGTTTTTTAAATTCTGAAGAAGCCATCGCCAAGCACTTCCACCTACATTTCATTGACTGAAATGTGTCACCTGGCAACCCCTAGCTATACAGGAGTCTGGAAATTCTAGTATTTTGCTTTCCAGTTTCTCTAGTAGAAAAAGTCAGGTATGTAAAGTGAGCAAAGTGATAAAGCATATATTCTAAAAAGTAATTTGGGGCTGGGTGCAGTGGCTCGTGCCTGTAATTCTAGCACTTTGGGAGGGCAAGGTGGTAGAACTGCTTGAGGCCAGGAGTTTGAGACCAGCCTGGGCAACATAGTAAGGCTCTGTCTGTCTCTACAAAGAATTTAAAAAATAGCTGAGCATGGTGGCACATGCCTGTAGTCCTAGCTACTTGGGAGGCTGAGGCAGGAAGATTCCTTGAGCCCAGGAGTTTGAGGCTACTATTGTTGTGCCATGGTACTCCAACCTGGGTGACAGAGCAAGACCCTGTCTTTAAAAGACTAACTACATAAATGAAAATAAAAATAAAAAGGCCAGGCACAGTTGCTCATGCCTATAGTCCCAGCACTTTGGGTGGCCAAGGTGGGATGATTACTTAAGCCCAGGAGTTTGAGACCAGCTTTGGCAACATGGCAAGACCCCATCCCAATTTAAAATTGTAAAAACCCATAAAAGTAAAAAGTAATTTGGAATACTATGAGGTAAACCAAATAATCAACTAACAAATTAGTTATTTAAAAAACAAAATAAGACTAGGCTTGGTGGCTCACGCCTGTAATTCCAGCACTTTGGGTGGCCAAGGCAGGAGGACTGCCTGAGGCCAGGAGTTCAAGACCAGCCCGCACAACACAGTGGGACCCTGTCTCTACAAAAAATAAAATAAACAAATAAATAAAAATAAAACCAAGCCCTCCAAAAACCTTTGACACTGTATAAAGCTATGCAATTTTCTAATCGGGTTAAAGTAAAAGCAGTTCACAAAAAATTCAGACTCTAAAGAAATACAAAGTAGTATATACGGCCTAACATTACTTTGTTCTTAAAATTTTCCAGTGACTTTTCTTCCCACTTCTAACTCCAACTGCCCTATCCCAAAATGTCAAATGTGACTTGCAGGTTTTCTAATCAACATGTAAGTCAGAAATTCTAAAAATGCATTTTAAATTGTGAATCACATCATTACATGACTGTCTACAGAGCCACTTAATTTTGAAGGCAAGTTAATTTTAAAGATACTTACACACAATGTTCAGTTGATTATGCTTAAGATAGTTTTCTTCTGGTGATTCAGCATGATTCTTTTCAACAAATTACGTACTTTGCTTGCTTTGTGTTACATTGGCAGTTTCATTTCCTGTTAAGGAAGCTATCATCAGAACTCAGAGAAACCTTTGCCTTTATTATTCAAGTACTGAAAATAAACAAAGAATATAAAATACACATATAGGCTGGGCGAGGTGGCTCATACCTGTAAGCCCAGCACTTTGGGAATTCGAGACCAGCCTGGCCAACATGGTAAAACACCATCTCTACTAAAAATACAAAAAATTAGCTGGGCGTGATGGCACACACTTGTAATCCCACTTACTCAGGAGGCTGAGGCAGGAGAATCGCTTGAGCCCAGGAGGCAGAGGTTGTAGTGAGCCGAGATCGTGCCACTGCACTTCAGCCTGGGCAACAGAGCGAAGAGTCCATGTCAAAAAGTAAAATAAAATAAAATACACACATATATACTTGGGGACAGACACAGTAAATATGTTTTCTGGATGATTTAAAGGTTTAAAAGGGGATTATTTGTTCTAACTGGAAAAAAAAACCCTTTTAATATGAATTATTTATATGGAAGACTTCTTTTTGAAGCTGTTGTGGCTGATACTAGTGGATTCATGTCTAACTTCTTTCATTTTATAAAACAGAATCATATCATTATCACAATCTACACACTCCCACCTATACTGTTAGTCTGGGGGAAGTCTGGGGTGGTTCCTGGGATAACAGGCCCAATTATCCCAGTATATATTGCATACGGCATCCTAACAACTTTTAGGAAAGGTTTTCATTATTAGTGCTTTGTTTTAGAAAAAGTCCAAAGCAAGGCCAGGCGTGGTGGCTCACGCTTGTAATCCCAGCACTTTGCAAGGCTGAGGTGGGCATATTACTTGAGGTGGGGAGTTCTAAACCAGCCTGACCAACATGGAGAAACCTGTCTCTACTAAAAGTACAAAATTAGCCAGGCAGACGTGGTGGCACGTGCTTGTCATCCCATCTACTGGGAAGGCTGAGGCAAGAGAATCTCTTGAACCTGGGAGGCAGAGGTCATGGTGAGCCGAAATCGTGTCATTACACTCCAGCCTGGGCAACAAGAGTGAAACTCTGTCTCAAAAACAAAAAAAAGAAAAACTCCAAAGCAAGACATAGTTAAGAGTTCAAAGATTAAGGAAGATGAAAAGAAAGAGAAAGCAGTGAAAAATAGAATCACATGATTTACAAGCAGGACAAGGGGAGCAAGCAGGAAAAAAAACAAAGGAGTTGTCAGAAACTGTGGGGAAACTGTGCTGAACAGCAAGGGCTGAGAAATGAGCA